AGACCCGGGTTCAGTTCCCGCTAAGGGTGCGTGCCTTGGTTGTGATTTGTCCCCGGCCCTGGTTGGTCGTGTGGGTGGCAGCCACTCAATGTGTCCCTTTCACATCGATGTCTCTCTCTTTCTCTCTCTCTTCCTCTCTTTCCCTCCCACTCTATCTGAACAAAAAATAGAAAAATGTCCTCGGGTGAAGATTAAAAAAAAAGGAAGAAATAAACTCCTGTTGTGTTTGAGCTGTTATACTGTCAGGGATCTTTTTGTTACAACATAGCTTAAATATAGCATGTATAGTAAAAATCTAGTTAATGAAGGAAAGATTCAAATTCAGAGCAGAAACAGAAGCAAGGTGGGCTTGATGTCTTGCCCCTGAATTACTGGTCTGCAGCTTCAGAATTTCTCCTGATTAAGAAGAGAACGGATGACAACGGGGATAGACTCTCTAAGGGTAGATCATGCAGCTGCAGCTACACAGGTGAAAAGGATGTAGGCAAAAACTCACTCACAATTTGACAATCCTGAACAGAATCATAGTTTGAGATCAGTAAATTCTAAATTTCTATTTCTGTTTTATGCACTGAAGTTTCTCCATGCTAGAAATAATGAAAGAAACTATAACCTTGATTCTGCTTTCCCCCTCTTGAACTTGGTTTTCTTTCTCAAATAGATCCAAGTGATGAATCTTATTCTCCCCACCTGGGTATTTCTCCCAGCCCCCACCCCCCTTTCTTACTCCTTATCAAATGGGTGGTTTCTCAGAGGGTTTAGTCAGACTTGGGTAATGATATCAGTTCTTAGAATCACATTGTGGCTTAACTACCTAATAAATATTTGCCAAATAAATTATTCTTGTTTCCTCCTTTTAATGAGACAACATTGAACTAATGATCTCTTTCAAGTTGAAAGAGATCTTAGAGATCATGTAGTCCGACCAGTACACACACACACACACACACACACACACACACACGCACACACATGCATGCACATACACCCTTCTATAACACAGAACCCCCTTCTGCAGCATCTCTGACATACTCAGACAGTCTGTGCACGCAAGTGTCTGGTAATGAGAAGCTCACTGGTTTATAGAAAAGCCTATACCATTGAATGACAGCTCCAAAGTTTAAAAAGTTGTTCTTATTTTAAATTTTAAAAATTTCTCCATAAAACTTTTACTGATTGCTCAGCATTGGGGTTTCTTGGTGATCCCATATCTCAGGGGTCAGAAAAAAAGGTTTTTAGCTCTATCTTTAGAGCTGACCAGCTATCTAACTTTAGGAGTTGTTTCTCCTCTCCTGAATGAAATTTCTTCACCTATTAAATGAGAGGTAAGAAAAAATTATATGTAAGGTCATTGATAAAAATAATGCCTATTACACACTCACCTCCAGGCTAGCTCTGATTTATTACTTAACACAATTTCAGGAAGGTTATTTAACCAGTCAAAAATATATTGTTATTTTTCCATCCATAGTTCTTTATCTTCTCCACAGAAATTTTAAAAAAAGACCTTCAGAGTCATAAAGTCCATATACAATGCTGTATTTATAGTCCTAGTAATCCCAACAAAAGTCAAGTAAATATGGGTAAATTTGTATGACTTGCTTTAAGGCACTGAAGCTTGATATTCTTTTCTAACTATCCTCAAATCATTAGGCTATGTCTATCTTTGACCACTTCTTTAAATATAAAGATACTGAAGTCAAAGGACATGCTTTCTATGCCAACACCATGATCTCAGTACATATCTGCCCATCAGTTCCAATTCACCCAAAATGAAACCAGAGGTGGAGAGATACCTCTTCCCTACCAAAGTGGTATGCGGGGGTCAGAGATCAAGCACCAACACAGCATCCTGGAGAAGCATGATACTGAGATCACTTTTGAATAATGTTAAATTCAAATTGGCTTTTCATCTAGATGGGTCGTAGCAATGGAGTCGGACTGTGTAGCATAGTGTGCAAAGTGCAAAGTGCAGATGAGGTGGTGTCGAAATGCTACATAAGATGCGAATTAGGAGCACAGGCTCCATTAGGTAAAATGGAAATGGCTTGAATTCTTCCCAGTGACTGCCTGACTGGGTATGTGATTGTATTTTATATGCTCCAGCTTGAGTTTACTTATGGGAGAGAGCCAAATTCAGTTAGAGGAACTGGCATTTGAAAGACCGGTTAAATTGAGAAAAGCAGGCTATGCAGACGTATTTCTCTCTGGAAGATATTTCTGATCTTCCAACTATCTGGAGATCTTCCTTGGAAAGTCTCTAAGCTCTTTTCAGTTCTTTGAAATGGCTCAGATTACTCCACCGTTTCTAGCAATATTTAATGTAAACCTCAAATCAGTTAGGTCATATCCACTTCAGACCAACATGCATTACAAAGCAGGAATACCCCTGGTGAGGACAGTTGGGAGAGGGAACAGATGCTCACAGGAGAACATAATAACAGAGGACAAAACCACTGGACGGAAATCTGTGCAGAAGCATCAACCCAGGCTGATTCTCTAAGAAGCTGGAGAACTGCCCTTGTGCACTTGAGGTCATCCGAGCCTTCCCCACAATACTAGAAATACACTAAAACAAGCCTAGAATCTATCCAGAACCAGTCAGGATCTGTCTTCATTGAAATAATCCCAAGAATTCCCATATCCCTCTGAGAAGCTACCCTTTGGGACCTTCCTACAACACATTCCACTTTAAGGTTCCCCCTCCTGAAACTGGTCCTGTTGGAGCTGTAGCTAGAATTGCTGCTTCTGGTAGGAAGCTGTGACGGGCCAATGCAGCAGCAATGAGTCTGTGAGTACCACAGATGTAAAAACTATTTCCCAAACAAGTGTGTCTCTCTTAGTGCCAAGAAAGACCGAAGTCCACAGTAAGAATCACACCTGTGAATTAGTTCCCTCTATGTTCAGTTACCCTGAAAAGCATCCTAAATAGGGTGGTTCTCATGAACTAAATATGCCCGTCAATCCCTTGTAGCCAAGGTTATAAAACCTTTGCAAGGGTGTGTGAACCACAAAACAAGAGATTCGTGAGCATATTTTTACATTGGCAAGAAAAGCAAAATGTCACTCAACTAAATTTAAGATTGTTCACACACATCTGCTACCACCAGAATGTTATAGGGGGAAAAAAAGGAAAGAAAAAAAATCTGAATAGCTCACAGTCTAAATAGCTTTGGAAATTTTTCTATTGTTCAGATGACTTATGCTGTTTCAACAATGATTAAAAGGCGATCAAAGCAGAAGCCAAAACATGTCTGTGATCTGTCATAGAGCAACAATTTTTGGTTAAACAAATACATAGACAGGCATATCTCAACCACACAATGTTATGTTAGATCACTACTGTTATAGATACATCACTAAAATGTGTGCAGAAAAGCAAGAAATATAAAATGTTACACCTCTGACAAAATCATAAATGAATCACATCTTTGAGAGACAGTTAGAGAAACAAAGATTGCTAGACAATAAATTTCTGACTCAGGTACATTTGCCCCCATTTCAGAACATGAAGCAGATGTATCTTATGACATAAGCTTCAAACCCTCTCAATTAGAATGTTCCAGTTAATCAACCAGAATGATTTGTCCAAAGTCCACCACCCACACGGAATGGAGACAGTTTAACATAAAAGAACAACCAAAGTTATAAAATCACAGAAGTGCACTCAACAGTGTGTGGAAGGCAATGCTTATTCATATGTAAAAATCAAAGCATAATTATAAAATTTGGGGAAATTAAACTAAAAGATTTGGAATTATAAATCTACCTTTCATTCTTTTCAAAAAATCTTCTTTTAAATATTAACAGCAATTATAGAAATCATCAATAGATCTATTAAGCAAAGCTGACAAAACTGTATAACAAGAACTCCTTAATATAAATTAAGTCACTTCCTCCAAAATTTTACACTCCAGACACTGTTAAAATGTACCCCAAATTCAAATGCCAAATTACTGAGGAGTTAAGAAAAAACAGCAAATTCCTGTGAAAACCATATAATAGAAAGTCTTAGTTATAATTCTTTACATAAAGAGAGAATTATAATTCTTTATGTAAAGAATTAGAGGTTTAGCTAAGTAATTGAATTTTGCTACTGGTACATATGAGGAGAACTATTGATGGAAATAAATTACATATCACAATGATTTTAAAAGATAGTTTAATTAGACTTTAAAATAAATGGTTAAGCATAAATAAATGTTCCAAAACTCACAACAGGCCTGAGAAAAGATAATAATTTGTTAAATTATTTTTTAACACTATATTCTCTTAGACAAATTTGAATAGTTAATTAAAATATATATTGGGGGCATTCTTTATAGCAACTCAAAGTACCTTTCTTCGTTGTGTGATATCACAGAATTACACTTTTGACAGTTTTAAAGAGAGTGTTAAAAGGTTTTTGAAAAAAATTAATTTCTGGTTCAAATAATTAAATTGGAATATTTTGAAACTAATTAAATATTTTCAATGATGCCTGAAAGTACCTCTACCGTGGCTCATACCTAATCATTTTATAAAAGGATCTATCTTTTCCACTCACTAAAGTTTATGTATTGTATATTATATATTACATATCAGTAAATTTAAAATTTTATAAGTCATCAAATATCTCCTCTGTGTCCTGACAACAACCTCTACATTTCAAACTATGTAATGTGTATATAAAAATGCTATTTCCAAAGTAACTGTTTTGTTCAACTGCAAGGCAATTCCTTTGTGGGGAATTAAAACAAAGACTCAGACACTCAAAATTCAAAGCACTAAGCATTCACAGACCAATATATGCAATGAGAAAGCAATTTCTCAAATTACTGGATTAACACTTTCTAATATAATATTATAAATGGTTAATCCTGAATTAGAAATGTGATGAAGGCCATCACTCTTTAAAGCTTAAATTTAGCCTGGCTTGGTTAGACTTCGGATTTTCCTCTCTCCATCTGTAAAAACATGATTCACCTAAATCATAGGTGACAAGTGTTTGTAAAACTTACACTGTCAGATTGCTTGCCAGGGTCACAGTTCCAAGTCTTCGCTTGCTGTCCAGACCTCTCCATGGTGCTGAACAGTTACTGTTGCCCATTTGAGACGAAAGAGTTTATTCGAACTGGCTTTGAAAGAAATCCATAAATGGCCCACCTGTGTTAGCAAGTAAACTTATCTGAAGAATTTCTGTAACACATACTACAAAAGAGACGCATTGACCTTCAGTTATCAGCCACGATGCTCAGGCAGCTCAAAAAAGATTTGGGAGCAGAAATCTTCAAATATTGACAAAAGAGAGAGAGAGAGCTCTTTGGGAGACGAAGTTTGCTGATTTTTGTCAGTGTTCTTAAAATTGAAAATACACACACAGAATACAAGGCTACTCAGAGAACAGAGGATTCCAGAAAAGTTCTTGATCTTAATGCAGAAAACAAGCTCCCATTAATCCAAAGCAGCCAACTCGCTTCATCCTATCATTATGTCCACTTTTTGGTCAAAAAATAAATAAAATGAAATCAAGCTCCGAATTCCACAAACCACTGCACACACCATGTAAAGAGCTGCGCCTCACTGTGGCCCCAGCTCGTCTGCTGAAGACGACTGCAGCAGAAGCGGGCTCTTGTGGCTTTCACAGATTATCTCTTTCTGAGGCTGAGACGTATAAAGAGCCACATGACACCCAATGATGTCATCTCTAAAGCGGTCACAGTTGCTGCTGTATGTAGATGAAGTCCTTCTAGCGAGTGCATGGCATAGTGATTTTCTTGAAAATCTACTTGTATTAAATAGCACGGTCTTCTATCAATATACTTAACCCTATCAATATAGTGCCATGAAGAGAAAATCAATGCATTGCTCACATATGAAGCAGAGTCTCTGTTTAACTTAAGATCAGCTTCTGGTGCTGCTTTAGGAAATGAATAACTGTAACGAACTCTTGGTGAGTATAGTCAAGAAGGGGTTTTCCCTCACGGAGCCGTTATGGAAACTAGAGGAACTGTAGAGACATAGAATCTGCTTTAAAACATGTCAGAATTTTTAGCAAGTTAAAAAAATCTTATTCTTAAAAAAATCCACAAAGATCGCAAAATAAAAATGAAGGCAGCTGTCTTCAACTCCTAACATTTTATTTAATGGAATTTTTTAAATGTTTTATAGACATAAGAAAATCTTATTAACAGTATCTCTGAAAAAAATTAAATATGTTTTTAAATGTTGGTAGGAAATTTTCTTTAACTCATTATTTTTTTAATCTTTTCTAGCTCTGAATAAAGTAACAATTAAAATTTAACTATATTATAACCACTCTGTACATGTGAGGTGATAGCATGTATAGATTATTATTTTAAAGTATGTGTAACAATGAGAAATAGCTATTTCCATTCTGTGTAATGTATTTTTAAACCTATCAAGAAAAATGTCCTCCAATCATTAAAAGGATAATTTAGGGAAAGAAATGTATACTATCAACAATATTCAAAAACATGAAAAGGAGAGTGTTTGTGATATAAAAATAATATTTCTATACAAACATATATTCATTCACCCTGTCATATATGATTATATGTTATGTAATATAATTTCTAAAACTTTTGAAAATATTTGTTCTTTAAGACCCTGAGTCAAAGAAAAACATATATACTTCTGTGTAAATACCAAGAAGTCCTTTCTTTCCACATGTAATTATTCCATCCTCCATTCTCTGAACCAAAATTCAAGACAAATAGACTAGTTGGGGGCCTGACAGTTGGGTGCTGAAACATGAAAACTCATGGGACTTAAATTTATAACAACAGTTGGGCATAATACTATAACTTGTCTGTGACCTGGAAAATCTAGGTTATTATATTGTGAAGTATCACAAGGCTTACATTCTCTGTAACTTTATAGCTCTCAAGACTGTATTGGAAGGGGTACCAGGAATTCCTTCTAGGGTCTGAGTTCTGCCCCCAAAACATGTGTAATTTTGTAAAAATACTTTTTTCCCTTTAGATTTTTTCTGATGTGCTTAAAGCCTGGAGGTTGTAAATATCAAAAAAAAAAGGAAATAAAACTGGAAGGTAAGAAAGGAGTCTGAATGGAGGTACCAGCCACATTTGGCAGACAGGGCCAGTACTGGCTTTTGGTAGTATCCCTGGGAAGGTTTGGTGGGTCACCTGGATGCCCCTTGCTAACTGCCCCTTGCCAAAAGCCAGGACCACTCAAGCAGCGCCATTGATATGAGGGCTCCATAGCCTTCTCTCCAGAAAAACCAAGGTAGTGGGGTCTTCAGCTGGCCCAAACCACTGCCGTTGAACCTGCTCAGAACTGCATTTCTCTCCGAGCAGGAATAAAGCAACACCTGGTGGCTGGGGTTGCGCAGCTACTGGAATGGCACTTTCTGCACTGACTTGCCTGAGAGGGGAGGCCAAGTAGCCCTACCCCCCCCCTCCAACCCCATGCTGCAGATCCTCCCGTTTGTGTTTCCTCAGGTCTGAAGGGAGGAGCCCACTAGGCTTTTACTGAGTACGTGGGCGTGGCCTCTCAGAAGAGGCTGCTCATTAAAGGCAAAAGGACTTGTACCTGCTTTTCCCTTTGAATCTTGAAAATTAGTCTTTAAAAGGAGCAACACTAAAATAAATGCTGAATTTATTACTTTTGTAATGTACAGCTCCAATCACATAGTATACATATATATTCCAAAGATATACATATTTTCTAGGACACAATTTGATTTTCGTGGATTCATTTGGTGGATCAGAAACAGTCACTGTGCCTCCCAGTGGAAATCAGTTAAACATTCCCCCTCTGTTCTTCACCACTGTCCTCATTTTCAACGCATGGAGTGTTTTAGTGCAGATTCAGAATGGTTCTAATGTTTAGCACCCGTCTCCCCCCCCCAGCTCCCTGGCTCTGTACTGTGTTCTACATATGCAGAGCCATTGAATCTTCACAGTGACACCAGTCCATCTCTCAGGTGGGAGTTCTTTCCAGTTTGCAAGCAAAGAGGGACCTCTCAGGTGTCATGGCTTAGACGCACAAAAACAGTGGAGTGCTACTATTTTAAATCAGGTGGTCTAGGACCTTACACTGCATCCTACAGGCCAGACCGGCACATACGGGGAACCAATGGGAGAAAGTGAGCACTACCAGGAAGGAAGGCGGAGTAGATGGACCCAATCCAACCCCATGGGGCTCAGAACATCTCCAACAATTCAAAGATTCTTTGGCTTTATCTGCAGGGGTAGGCTAATAATTTGTGAAAAGGCTATCAATCCAGTTTAGAATATACCATACTATAGTTTCTTTCTATAATAGTCTGTGAGACAAATTACAGATTTCTCAGAGCTGGGAACTAAAAGAATAAGTATTTGGTCATGTGAAATTGATTAATAAAAAGCACACAAAGCATTTCCCACTGCTGTCCTCGGTGCAATAACTGATATTTTTACAGTTTTTTAGGATAGTTATTCTTTTTTTCTCACTTTGATACCCACAAGCTACATTTCCCAGTAACAGCTGCTATTCAAAATTGCTATTTCTAAAACAAATTTTTCTGTTACCACATGATAGGCTCTGGTATAAGGGTACTTAATATACAAATTGCTAACATTACTTAATATTATCTTCCCTCCTGTTGCTCTTCAATTTGGCATTGAGTAGCTGAGATTTGAGGTTTTAATCAAAGAACATGAAATTAGGCAATTTATAAAATAAAGTGAAGATTTTTTTCAATGATTTAATTCACTGTTTACACCTATTAAAATGTAAAATAATCTTAGAAATGCATTAACTGATTGTCTCCCTCTGCTTGACCATGTCTGCACAGTGTTTTCCGCAGTAGCACAGTCTGGTAGAACAGTGCAGCATGCAGGTTCAGCCAAATGTGTAGCCTGGAGCAAGTTAATTATATCTTCAAGTCTCATTTTAATCATCTGTACAATGGAGATGATTGTACCTCCTTCATGTGGTCATTGAGAGGATTAAATGAAATAATCCATGGAAAGCATTAACAAAGTCCTAGCATTTACTAAGTGCTCAGTTCTTATCGAGAAGATAAATTGGAGCCCTGGCTGGTTTGGCTCAGCTATTAGAGCATTGGCCCTTGGACCAAAGAGTCTTGGGTTCAATTCCGGTCAAGGGCATGTGCCTCGGTTGAGGCTTGTCCCCAGCCTTGGTCGAGGTCATGCTGGAGGCAACCAGTCGATGTGTCTCTCTCACGTCAATATTTTTCTCTTTCTCTGGCCCCCCTCCCTCCCACTCTTGAAACATTACTGTTGATATATATGGTAGAGTAGAAATATTGTAAACCTATATTAGCCATTATGTGTAGCTAAAGCAGTCAGAGCAGAAGCATGCAAGAGCATCCTCCTGGGCTCAGCACAGGGAGTCACCCAGATCAGGTTGCTGGCTTCCCAGGTGGCACATGCTTGGGGCAGACAACTAGTATGGGTAGTAACTGCAGTTATTACAGGCATGGGGGTGGGAGGAGCCGCTGGCAAGGCCCAGGGGTTAGGCAAGGGTGGACTGGCCTCTAACTGAGGCTGTGTTAGTAGGGGCCTGAAATGAGATAGACAACTGATCAGATTCGAGAAGACAATGGTCCAGGCAGCAACAACAGATCAAGCCCAAAGAAAGAGGGCTGAGACTCAGTAAACTGGAGAGGATCTAGGAGGAGTCAGGGCCCCAGAGAACCCCCCAGGGAGAAACCTCACTGAGAGCCTTTGACTAGGATGGAAGGTTTTTAACCCTGAAGTTCCCAATGGAATCGCTGGTTATTAGAGGAAGCACATCTCTTTATGACAGGTTTGTGGGAGCGCAAAGACAGCAAATCCAAACCTTCACCTCACAAGCAGAGTGATTTCTGATATTCAATTTCCATCATTCAAATCGAATCTTAAAAGTCTTTTAACTTTCACCTTCTGTTGACCTTCACAGAGAAAGTATCCCAAACACTCAATTTTCACATTATTTTTCACTTGCAAATCATGACTTAAATACAAACTCAATCATCTCCCAATGTGGTTCATGAGTGCCCTCTAGTGATAGGAAGGCCAGCTAAGACAATTCATTCCCCCAAAAACAGTCTTAAAAAGTGCCCATTCACTACATATCCAATTTCTGCTGTCAGCTAAAAATAGATCTTCTGCCAATGTTATTTGCTCAGCTATAGACTTAACTTACTGCTCTCTCTTTAGAATCCACAACTAGATAAAACTGTTCATTAAAGAAAATACAATGCAATCATCTGAAAACATTTCCAAGTAACCTTTGCTTGCTCCCAACGTGATACATTATTTTGGTTGCGGGGAAGCCTTTTTACAAACAAATAAACAGAATTAGAAAGCAGTCAAGAGCAATTTAAAAAAAAATAATACCCTCATATAGTTTCAGTACTCCAGTGATGGTCGTAAATAATCACAATGGCTTAATCCACAAAACTCTGCATTATAATCACCTGATTTGTTATTTTTTCCCTGTTTTTTAAATACAGACTTTCAGCAGATTCTTTCATTCCTTAACTCTGTACCCAGGATTCTTGAACTGGTGGCCCCTGGAACAAGTGTGGTCTGCAGACAAGGTCTAGTTATGTTGTCCAGTTTC